CCTTCAACACAATGAAGAGTACGTTTGAGGATGTAGTGAACGAAATGCGCCTGGTGAGACCGAACTTCTTCATGACCAAATCAACTTTCCCAAGAGTCTACAAAGTTGTTCGGGAGAAAAGCTTGTCAATGGCAGTAGTAAAGACAGGCTTCCGAAAAACAGGAGTGTTCCCCATCGACCAGTCTCAGATAAACAACCGTTGGCTGACACTGAACAGCCTTGAAGTCGCCGTAGGAGAAGAGAACAGTGCAGACAACATGGTAGAAGAAGAAGTAGAAGAATCACAAGATACATGTACCTACCAGCTACTCCCCGAAGAGGAGGAGATACTCCAGATGGCGAAGGAGTTGGCTGATCAGGAAGAAGTTGTCAGCAACGAAACAACAAAGAAAGTTCTGCCCGTGCACGTGACATCACCAACATCTGAGGTGTATAGTGCCAATGAGAACCCGTTTGTAAAGGCCGGAATTGTCCCGTCGTATGTTGCTGACCTACTAACACCCATACAGGAGTCGCGTCAGCGCAAAGTGAGGAGGGTGAAGCCTAGGGCTATTGTCTTTGATGAGAAGTACATAGCAGACCTGAGAAAAGAGGCAGAGGAGAAAGAGGAACGCAAGGTAAAAGAACAGATGAAGAGAAAAGAAGAGAGGGAGGAGAAAAAGGAACGCAAGGTAAAAGAACAGATGAAGAGAAAAGAAGAGAGGGAGGAGAAAAAAAGGAAGAAGACTGAAGAAATGGAAATGAAGCGAGCGGAAAGGCTCCAAAAGAAACAGAAGCAGCAGAAAAAATCAAACAAGCCATCCGCAGGAACATCTTTGTCGGTAAGGAATACATTGACGTTGAACATTTCTGATCAGTCGCTTGAAGATTGCTCAATTCATATTCATTGATCCTACGAACGTACACATGACTTCTGTCATTTTGACATTGTCTTTAATAACCTTACCTTGATCCTCGCTCAGAGCACCAGCCCAGCTGAAGCAGCCGCTAGACCCCGCCGTGTGGCAAAGCGGCCATTGTGGATGGAGGATTTCACAACAGAGTCGACAGAGGTTTGTACACACGAATATATCAGCGTCTGTAATAGGACTTGTGTTTTTAATGACTTTCGCCCGACGTTAAAGAACCAATTAAACCCCCCCCCCTCCAATTTCTGTTCTTAGGATGAAGGCTAAGCGGGATCGCGCAACTACGTCCCAGGAGACTCACCACTCACGGTGCTACCACGGTGTGGGTGTGTTAATGCGGACTGGTATCTGTCGAGCAAGATGAAAATGTGGTTCCTTCCGTCTGCACCAACATCGTTGTTTATGCTTACGAGATTGCTATTCGTGCTTCATCCGCGCCGCCATGCAAGAATGGGCGAATTTCACTTCTCAAACCATTTTAGTGTTATATTTTCAATCGTTAATTAGTTATCAATAGTTAAAAGTTAGGTGACATTATTACATATTACACAAGATTCTCAAGGTTAGTATGAAATGCCATGTTTACATTGGGAAATGTGTCGTTTTATGAAGTTGTTTTAGCGTTTAAAGTCCCGACCGGGCTTGAATGTGGTGTTAGGGTTTAGTATACGGCAAATTTGTTCTTGAGTAAGAAGCGTCAGTCAGGATACTATGGGATAAAACCATCAACAACCTTCTATAATTTTTGGTTTATCGATCGGTATTGCCTGTAAAAAGAAGTAATGAATTTATTACTTCTCCCATTTGTATCTGTGCGACTAAAGTTTAAAGATATTAGACTGGGGGTTTGGAAGGAAAATAACTTCGTAGTACGGTAAATAGATACCAGTCGTCTATTGGTAATGTAATAATGTAATTACACGTGTATTCCTTGTATATTTGTCTATGTGCGAAATCAGTAACATCATTACTGGAATGTAGAAACAAGCTTGGAAAAACGCAATAAGGCTACTAGACTGACAGAACCATTTTATTGGGAACATATTTATACAAACGAAATGCAATGTATATTACTAGGTATTACTGACGGGAAACGTCAAGCTTCAGGACGCAGAACCCCCTCTTCACGTAAGCTTCCCTCAGCTTCACAACCAGGTCTTCAATAGCGGCTCCAGAGCACAACTCTTCAACTGCCAGCCGGTCGGTTTCCCGGACCCACCCCACTTGCATCCAGTCTCCGTCGACCAATGCCGAGGTCATGATCCCAGCCCTCGGTGCACCTGGGCGGTGGTACGGCCGTACCCGGAGGGGCGGGGTCTCCCCGCACTCAAACATGTCAATCAGCTTCTCTGCGTTAGAGCAGTAATGGAATGTCTGCAAAGTCAGTTTCTATAAACAAAACAAAATATCAACGTCAAACCTTCGGTTAAGGTCAAGCCTCTTAAGTATGACTTTGTCTCGATATACTGGCCTCCTTAGGAGATCAAGTTTGTATAGACCTTCAATATTTTTTGCCATGGAAATTGATCTAGAAGCTAAACAAACTTACCTAAAACAACTAAAACACATCCACTTACCATTCTGGTAGATAAGACCTTGATAGCGTAGCTTGCACATCAAAAAAATTCTGTCAGAATCGTTCTGTCACTGTGATTGTGGCAAGCGCAAGTGGCGGGAAAATGGGGTGAACCATTGTCGCGAGTTACTTTATTTTTATGTGTGTCCCTTTGATCTTAAAACAGCATGTTGAAACTCTGCATATGTTGATAAAAATAAAAGTACCTATACTTTATAGTTGATCTTAATAGTAGCTGCAAACTATGGAGGAGTATTCGCCTGGTAGGTTGACGTTCCTCCATTCAGGACCCCCGTTATGAAAATGGAAACATCAAGCGGCAAGCGACTCAGCCGACGATCCCACTAGTCTGTGTGTAGGTGTGGCAAGTCAGCACACTTTTACACAAGTAAGATTATCAAGCACAAGTGTTAAAAAATAAAGCGTTTTATAGTATTAACACAATGAAGTCTTCTTAATTCTTTCCTGGAACAAGCATTGGAGTTGTAGTCGCTCCCGCCGCAGCTATTTGCTCTTGGTACAGGCCGATGACCTGTGTTATCATGTTACAGTTTCCGGGTCTCCGCTTCCGCCTGCTTGTTAGCATGACTTTTACCGACTGTAGTGCAAACCATCGTCAGTTACTCGCATTTTAATAGCTGTCGCAGGCCCCCAAGGATTTAACCAAAGGATTTACAACAGCCACGACTCGGCAGTGGAACGTAAGAACGAATCTGTCGCAGGACGATGTTTTTCGGGACATTGACAGAGAACAGAAAAAAACGGACATTTTTCAACGCTGAACTTTCGTTTTGCCTTATCCAGACAGCTTGAGTTTCAGACACTCTCAAACCACGGAAAAAGAAATAACAGTCCTTGTCTAAAAGGTAAATAACAAAGAGAGAGTTATGACGAGTATCTTCGTGACGGATAAAGGTTCATCTTTTTTAGAACATGCCTGTCTCCAACGCAATTCAGTCGTGTTTTATTCAGTGCGATAATTTTCTTACAGAGGCATCAAGGAGACAGCAAAACGCATTCAACAAAAGGGGCAAAGGTACTCTATAGTGTCAACATATAGCGGGGGAAGAATGCTGTTTGATCTTTTTATAAAGTGGCAACACTTCACTATTGCTGATATATGTGACGGATAAAGGTCAATGGATGTTACACTGAACAGTGCATGCAATTATAACTTTGGCAAAAGTATTCCATTGTGTATGGACGAGGAAACATGTTTCTTGAAGTTGAATAGTCAAATCTTTCAGTAACAAAATCATAGAGGGAAAAAAAGACTTGAATATACTACAAATTTGGATATTGACAGCAAATGACTTTTTTACGTTCAGAAGAAGGCCTTACAATATTTACGTGGTAAAATTGCAGCAAAATTGTTCATACACTACAGGCGACACCCCCCAACCCAATCTTTCTTGTATTATCCTAATATAGATGTAGAAAGGCAAATCAAGACAGGATTCATAATGTTTTTGTAAAGCACACAACTGTTTAATTTTTTTGGCAACAATTTAGAAACATTTTCTTCTATAACACCCACATCTTTTTTTCAAGGTCACTTGTTCATCAACCTTTAATACATAATCTCAACTTCTTACATACATTGTACACAGCCACAGGTTTACATACTTATCTATATCGTAAAATATATGATATCTCCCCACCATTTTCTTTTTGCCTTCACAGATGTCGTAATGTCAACTTTTATGATATCATTATTAGAGATATTATTTTAGAGCAATCAGTATAAAAACTTAATAGTTATGAAATGTTCGTCTTTCTACAGTATCCAACCGGTGAACATTATACATTGTAAATAACCGCTTTGGTAACATATGTGATTTTGTACGTTCATCCCGACTAACTTCTGTACAGACATTTGAAGGCCATAAGAGGGAGAGTGGCCAATCTCAAAGCAGATGTTACGGTTGCAAAATTGTAGTCAACCTGCAAGAAACTATCCTGTGCAAGAGCAGATTCAAAATGGCGGCGGTATTAGGAAATGGGTCAAACACAACAATCCAGCCTGTTCTGTTCAACTATAGTAGCAGCAATGGCAATGACCCGATACTCTGTCCGATATGATAGTATAAACTATACTTTCTACTTCTTACTAGCTATTTTGTGACACGTGTTCTTTAATTGCTTCATTTTATCCATTTAATCATTTTTCAATGGTACTTTCTGCTTTTTATGAAAATAATGATGCTATGTGGAACTATCCCTCTCTTTTCTAGATATTTTCTTTTTGTGACACATATGTTCTTTGATTGCTTCATTTTATCTATTTAATCATTTTTCAATGGTACTTTCTGCTTTTTATGAAAATAATGATGCTATGTGGAACTATCCCTCTCTTTTCTAGATATTTTCTTTTTGTGACACATATGTTCTTTGATTGCTTCATTTAATAATTTTTAATGTCATCTTAAATTGTTTTCACTGGGATTATTTTTGGGTAGTAGGTAGTTCATAAAAAATGTTACAAGTTTGGTTCCATCTCTTACATGTGAAATGTTCTAGTCTGGTGTAAGGATGATAGGAAAAGGGGAGGCCCCTCTGTCTCTCTGTAACTCATACGGATTTGTGGTATATTCTACAGTAGAAACAGTGAAAGGCAACTCTCCTGGTTCTTTCTCTGACTCGTATGCTTGGTTTGAAGTCCCTTCCACGGGCGTGAGAGTAATAGAATGAACTTCTCTTTTTCTGTGAATTTCTGGCAAATCTGCCGTACTTTTCGCTGGTGCGATACGAAGTAACTTATCCTCTGAGGAACAACACACGATCTTACAAATCTTAAATTTCGGCCAAACACAAGACAACATGGCGGGAAGAAACACTATCCCGTGGAGAAGGCCGAACACAACTACTAAGAACACCGTCTTAAAGAACGTCCTGAAACCGTAAGACGGTGCGTTACTTAGCGCAGCGACGCCTAGAACTGTTGAGATGGACCCCTGGAGAATCGGTACCCCCAGGCTATACAGCGCGTGCACAACTTTGGCGTTTCGTGAACTTTCTTCTGCTGAGACAAATGAGTAGATAAAGTGGGCGGAAAAGTCGACGGAGAACCCGATACACATGATGAGGCTGATCATGGAAATGTTGTCTAGGTTCGTTCCCCACAGTGTCATAAACCCAACAACGCCAAGACAGATGGACGCTATGGCCAGGGTCACCCATAGTGCGTGGATGGGGTGTGGCATAAGGATAAGGGATACAACTAACATGGCGACCGTTGCGATGCCTAGGTTCTGTAGCGTGTTAGGCAGAATGGCCGTGTACTGGTCATAGTACACAAACGCTGGGTGGTACACCACGGTTCGTACGGGCGCGTTTTTGGCAACGCCTCTCATTGCGAGCATCATGTGCTTTTCCTTCAGGGTGTCGTCAATTTGTTTGGTTTGGACGAAGAACCGGCTGGCGAGAATAACGCTGTTGTTCTCGCCGAAGTGAAGGTCGTACGAGAATCTGTCCAAACCTGGGGTCTTGAGGAACACGTCTTTAAGTCCAGTCATGAAAGAAGTTTTGTCGGTCAGATTTAGGCCAGGGATTTGGTCAGAAACCTTGAGATAAACGCGAAGCCAGGATTCGGACTCGTTTTTACCGCATGTAAAGTCCGTGTCTTCAAAATCACCCAACATCTCTTCCAACCGGTCCTGTACTTCCGGGTCCCAATAGTCCACCCTTTCCGTTACCATGACAGCGACTCTGACATCATACCTGCTGAAGTACTGGTCGTCCTGTTCGAGATAGCGGGCTACGTACGATCCGTCCCCCGCCAGCTTACTCAGCGGGACCCCCTCCCTCAGCTGCGTGCACCCCCAGACCGCTACCGCGATGTACCCGAGAAACGCCGTAATCACCACCGCTTTTACCCACTTATGAGTCATGAAAGGTCCGTAGTAGTTCTTGAAGAACAACATGAGAAGGTGGTCGTTGTGGTCTTTGGCCTCCCTGTCAGCTCCTGTTGCCCCGTCTCCCGAATAGAAGGACCGCTGAGAGCAGTCGGAGCTGTCGGTGGTGGCCGGAAAGGGGGCCCGTAAAGCTGGGTCCCTCGTCCCCTTGTCGGCCTGGGTCGGTAAGGGGCCGGACGTATCGGCCTGGATCGGTAAGGGGACCGGCTGGATGTGGCCTTGCGGGTCAGTCTGGGTCGGTAAGGGGACTGGCTGGCGGGAGCCGGGCGTATCGGCCTGAGTCGGTACGGCGACCGGCTGGGCTTGGCCGGGTTTGTCGGTCTGGGTCGGTACGGCGACCGGCATGCAGGAGAGGAAGTGCCGGTTCTGGTGCTCGCGGATCCCGTCGTAAATCAGGCACGCGCCGAAGAAGTTGATCTGGAACAGGTACGCAAACAACACGGCCACCCCGCTGTACAGGCAGAAAATCCGCACACCCGGGAAGCTGCAGGGAGAAACCAGCAACCGTGGGACATCAGCGACATCGCAAATATCAGTATGCTATGAGACATAGACAATGCAACTTACTACAAGAGGTGCCAGAAAATTGACATTGAAAATCTTATTTTACCGCCATAAAATTGCATTGGATGTCTTTAAGAAAATCAGTGGCGTTACCTTGTGATGGCGCCCACGGCGAAGGCCAGCGCGTTGGTCAGCGCGGTGATGGTGATGGACACGCCGGCCTCCGTGAAGGTTTCCGCCGCCCGCTCCTCCACACCGCGCCCGGGGCTCGTCCGGCGCCACGCCGCCAGCAGGATAAACATGTTGTCCACACCCACACCTGAGGAAGGCAGACAGGAAGGAAACAAACTTAGGTGTGGCTACAGGACATGTTATTGAATTTATGACATTCGGCCTACTGTACTTGGCGTTCAAAGGCATGGCGACAGCACTGTTGTTTATTATGATCTGTAATCACTTATCTGTGACAAGAAAACGCATGGAGGTCACCAGTTTGCTGAACTTGACCTATGACCGCTGACCTATGATGCGGATTGTCAAGGGGACACCTGGTTGTGAACATGACCTATGACCTATGATTACTGACCGATGACGAGGAACGGCATGGCGGCCACCAGGTTGTTGAAGCTGACCCCGCAGTACGAGAAGAGTCCCAGGGTGGCCATGACGGCCATACCCGCCCCCAGCACCCCCACCATCCCGAGGAACGGCTTGCTCCGTACCGGGTCCCTCATCACGCACGACAGCACGGCAAATGCCAGCAGCACGCTCCCCTACAAGAACAGGACATGTTATTACATCCTGAAGTAACGTTAAGTTCAATTTGTTTCGTTTTTTTCTTATACACAGCCAGGGATTCTTCACACCTTGCGTACTCCAGACAGAAGCTCTGAGGAAGATGTCTGATACAGAGCGAAACGCGAAACGTAATCAAGGTGGTAGGAAGAATCCCTGGTTGTGTATAAGAAAATCCCAATAACCTTAGTAGGTATGTTCTATTAACCTGATGGCATTGTTTTCGGAAGGTACACCCTGAAGCATTTGCACTCACGTGACTGTGACTTAAGCGATATCCACCATGTTGGAGGGTTACACCTGTCAGTTACCTAGTAGATTACGTAATTATTGATGTGATATCATGCAAATACATATGTATAGGTCTGATTCAGCTAGATTCAAACAAGTATGTAAAAGTCCTTTCCAGGGCAGGCACCTCCAAGTTGGTTATTACTTCATTCTGAAATATTGGGGACAAAAAAAAAAGCTTACTGACCGTGTAGGCCGCCAGGCTCGGCACGGCTCGTGTCGTCATGTCGGTAATCTCCGACTCCAGAGAGTGTGACGTCGACCACGTCACGGTGATGACGTCAGAAGAAAACGCCGCCATCTTGTTCTGGAAGGCTTTCTCCCACATCTCACTCCTTCTGTCGTCATCGTCTTGAGAAGAGCGAAGATGGTAGACCAGCTTCAAGGCCCCCGCCTTCTTGACGGTCTCGGTCCCGTCTTTAAGACTCACATCTCCAAGAATCGCTCCGCTGAATGTTCTTGAGCCTCCTGGTAAGAAAGTCCACGGGTAGCCGACAGTAAGGTTTGGGAAACCTTCTGCGATAAAGTCTAGCAAGTCCAGCCCGCTGACAACGCAGTCGGTTCGCCACTTGGCACAGACGTCTGCATAACTCAACCTGAGATCTTCTGTTACTATGCCTGATATGTTCTTTTGTAAGAAAACTGTGGCGTCTAGTACCGTCCTGTCCAGCACACTGTCCGAGATTTCTCCTCGGGGCCGGATGATCACAGCCCCGTAGCGGCCTGCAGTGATCACCCGGGAGGGTAAGAAGTGTTCTGAATCGTTAATCGGGAAGTTCGCCCGTACATATTCCCTCTCAACCTTCGCCGGGCCGTCTTCGGGTGTGTACAGCTTCTCGATGGAACCTTCGTTGCTTAAGAAGAAGAGTCCGCCTCCTAGAATGCCTCCGAGAGCCAGCGAGGCGAGGAGAAAGGCGTTGGGATGGCGGGCGAGGCACCGACCGAACTTCTCGAACCCCCGGCGCATCCATCGCTCGGTGACGCCATATTCCATCATCGTTAGTCAGAACATCAGGAGCCTCAGATACCGGGCTCTGAAATATAACACAGAAAATGTTCAGCTATATATAACTAGAAAGGCAACATTTGCAAAGTGCTGGCATGATATTTACCTTTACATGGTCTTGTTTAACAAATAAATAAGGTCAACGACCTGGATGGCACCAGACGGCCGTCACCATGGTAACTGGTGCTGTAGCAGACACACTGCGGTGTTGGGTTACATTATGTAGCAAGCTACAGGGCAGAGTTGGAGGGGCTGTTCACCTTGTATGATGATGTGTTTGAGTAACAATAAACAAAGCAGCAGTTTGATAGTCTAGACCATGTAAAACTTGTAAACATGGTGCATTTTATTTTCTTGCCTTTCTTGTTGACTCCTCTTTCCCCTCAAAATATGCAATAATTTCCATTGACGTATAGAAAAATTCCTGTCGTGTGATGTACAATTATCATTGCGAGCCTTCGACAAATGCGTATTGGATTTGGTTTCTTATGAACAACGATTGAAATCCACGAGATAGTCTTGTTATGTCGTGTATTCACTATAGAATAGAGTTTCATTCATTGGAGTGTATACAGGTGTTTCCAGCTAGCGTGCAGCTATAGAAAGCATTAGAAACCAAGAATGCAGCTGCGGAGGTGGGGATCAAATAAAGCAATTAAGTTCTTTTCAACCCTCTTCAGTCGATTTCTCCGTATTCATTAGTCGTAGATACCAGGTATTTGATAGCAGTTTTTTGTCGCGCGTGGCTTCTATAGAAAGTACTAATAACGCTGCATGAAAAATGATGGGCCTTGATGTAGCTTCTACTCGCTACAATGTAGTCATCAGATGTAAGGTCCAGGAATACATCGTGCGCAACACTCAAAACGGGGTCATGTGGCGTAACGACAGAGTGCTCGGCTCGGAACTAAGAGTCCTGACATGCCACCGATCTTGTGCCCTTGGGAAAGTTGAAAAAAAATTTTAAGCGTATGGGGTTTGTGTGTTGAGCTACATTTGCAAGCCTTGACCAAAATTTTGTTTGAGTAAAATTTGGAATTTTTGTTGTGTAAAAGAAAAATCCTATATCCTATAACTTACCAACCTGATAAAACTATTTTCGGATGTACATTTTTAGCATAGCGGGCCAACTCTCATGGCTTGTTATGTGTCTATTTTCAACATCTCTTTTCCACTACTTCTGAAGCCTTGTAGAGGCTAGGTCAAACCTTTGGGTGCTAAGCAGAGAAAGTAGTATGTACCCTTGGTATGACTTAGCCTAGGCACCATCCGGATTTCGCTCCGTGTTTTTTTTTTCTAGCAAAAAAAAGGAGCAAATCCGACTTTTTTTTTTGCTAGCGTAGCGGAGCAAAATCCGAATGGTACCCAGGCTAGGTATGACTTTGGCTGGAGATCAAACCCCGGCCTCCCGGTTTCGAGCGAGCGAGCACTCGACGCCTAGGGCAGCGTCCCAGTACCACAGAAAAACGGAAAGCCCTTTAAGATTCCAGATCATTGGACTAGGCTGTTCCTATAATATTGTCATTCCACTGGTTGCCAGCAACATAAGCAAACAAGGGGACTTTTAAAAAGTCAACCTGCAGGTTGCTTTAAGCCTTGATGGTTGATAGACCTGTTGCTTAGTGGGTACCATGGTATTCCTGATGTCAATGTCCAAATACGTCTGCATGGTGCAGTGTATGTTGTTATTATAATGAACCATCACCCCAGTGGTTGCTACCAACAGACGCAAACAAGGCGACGTTAAACAAAAAAACGAACTACGGGTGGTTAAAGCTTTGATCGGTTGACATACCAGTTGCTTAGTGCCATGGTATTCCTGATGTTAATGTCCAAATACATATATAAGCTGCAGTGTACATGAATGTTGTTATTATAATGAACCATCACCCAAGTGGTTGCCACCAACAGACCCAAACAAGGCGACGTTAAAAAAAACGACCGACCGGTTGCTTGAAGTCTTGATGGTCACTCGACTGTTTTTTAGTGGGTGTCATGTTTTCCGTGATGTTAATGGTCAAATATAGTGCTATGACTAAAAGTAAGAAGGATCCTTATTCTTGGACAATCCTTGAATTAAACATCCAGGTAAAGAGATAAACAAGAAAATAGTTACTCAAGCTACCGGATAGATTTTGGAAACTGCCAGTTTACAAGAAGCATCCAATATACTTTTCATCAGTGGAATCTGTAGTTGGACAGGTAGTTATCCAAAAACTATATGTAAATGGTGTAAAGAAACATTTTAGACAGTATATATGAAAAAAAGGTGTTCCCATATTGTCATTACAATGTTACCTTCACCGTAGTGGTTGCCACCAACACGGCAACAGACGAAAACAAAGCAACTTAAAAAGAAAAACGACCGACCGGTTGCTTGGTGGTTGCCCGACCGGTTGCTTAGCTGATGTCATGGTATTCATGACGTAAATATCCATACATAGTGTTATGAACAAAAGAATTAAATCCCTTTATTCATACACATTGAATGTCTTTTAATCTTTCGGCGACTGACCCTAAATTTAGGTCGTCGAAAGTATAAAATATAGATAGACCTGCCTGCTTATATGCCGACTTACATGTATGATATGTTCCTCCTTAATGCATGGCCCAAGATCTTTGAGTCTGCTTACTTTATACTTATCCCTGTGTCTATAATACAAAGATAAACAAGCAAGTATAGAAACAAAAGGAAACTTATATCTGGCTTTTGAGGACAGTATATGCATGTAAAGTCTGTTTACCATAATCGCAACCATTGAGCTGTAGTGCCCCCATTCTTCCTTCATTAACAAAGATCTGATCTATAAATTATACAGAAGACAAGAGACAAGAGAGTACATGTAGTAACATCTGTCAGTTTGAATGTACGTATATGCATGCCCCTCCGATTTCCTAACAACTGCAAGTATATCATGGAAAACAAATATTATGTAACACAAAAATAATATTTTGGCAAATAGATGCATGCATATGGCCGTATGTGGTATTTCTCCTTCCTCATCTAAGTTCATTGCTCTTTATACCAGGTAACTTGAGGGCAAACTGTGACTCCTAGTAACCCCAGTTTTGTTGTCAGCAAAATTGTATTCTATTAATCAAAATAAACAGTATAGTATATACAAAAGACAAACTTGATGCGTCAATAGGAATATTCAACATACATTCACGGTGTCAAATAATTTTGTCAATATTTTCCTTTTTGACATGATTATTTAAGATATATGGTCTTTTTTTCACACGAATGTGACAGATTTAGGCCGTTAGTTGCACGGTAGGACTAGGAGTGATCGATGTTTTTTTTTGTTGTTGGTTGGGGTTAACATAAGGTCATCTGTGAACGCAATGAGTTGGGATACCTGTTTAGTGTTTGGTCTTCCAGATCCACTTGAGAATTAATTCTGTTCCTAGTAAATCCATAGAAAAATTTTCCACATACATTGTAGTTATCGCAAAACTTTACACGACCTAATTTTTCCTTTTCAAAGACATGGTTGCACAGTTGATAACTTAAGACAGTCAAAACCCTTGACCCAAACTTCTGTGAACACTTTGTGTCTGCTTCCTCACCCTGTATATGTAGGAGTTAAAAGATTTAACAATGACAGAGACTATCATTCTTCTTACGGTGTCATCTCGATAGAACTGTCGGAATTGTAAGCTCCTTTTGTCTGTAACAACCCGCATGGAAAAGACACATGGTATTAGTACTGTTAGTTCGAAAATTCTGTCAGGCTTCGGGAGGCGGCTGGAAAGAGTAGAAATTGGCCAACAAATAGAGAGATAACATGTCAGGGGAGTTGGTGCGGCAAAATGTACTCTCTAGCGGACCAACTCCCCCATCATGTTATCTCTCTATCTGGCCAATTTCTACTCTTTCCAGGCGCCTCCAAAAGCCTGGTAGAGGCTATGAAAGCACCAACAGTTAAAAAATGTTCCCAATACTGTCCTAGGCGACTGCGATGGCAACGGAGAAAACATTGAACGCTAACCCGAACAATTCTGGGATATACAAATGCCCTGTCTGAGCCCACTATTACAAAAAGATTTAGAAAAGCACAAAGATCCCCTAGTGTATGCTTCAGATGAGGGATAAACACAAGAAGCCCGTAGGCGACGACCATGGTAACGGGAAACATGGAGAGTCAACCTTAACAATTATCTGCCTCTGCGTAAGCCGCTTTGAGAGAGCCAGGTAAATGCAAGCTTTTCTTGCTACAATGAACAGGAGGATAAAGGCCAGCATACGATGGCATTCGCCGGTCTACATAGTGGTGTGAAGCACGATAAAAAAACAACTAGGTTACACACATTATGCCTGCCCCATTCCCCCTGAGTGTTCCAATGTCTCTATTATTTGTTTATTTCTTTATTTGAATTTACCACAAGATATACACAAGCGGAAGGGATTCCACAAATGAAAGGGAGGTTAAAACAGGTGCATTGACACCTTTACAAATTGTCCTCCCAAACAACTTTGGCCTCGTACTTTGACGTACTTAAAAAGGGTTTCGACCATACTGTAAATCGTACAAAGCAACTGCAAAATTACTAGCATCAGGGTCTTTGAACTGACTATATGTACCAACACATCAAAAATGTCTATAGCACACATCTTAGCTGTTACATTAAAAGTTGAGTTCAAGATAGAAATATGTAGTAGAAGAAGAAATTTATTGCAGGACAATTGTACATGGTACAATATATGGCAACGAATATTGAACAAAATACAAAAGAGAAAAGGGTATAGAATGAAAATGAACATCCTAGTTACTGTATTAGATGTACGTTGACTGAAATTTTACTGTTTGTGTACTCTATTGTATGTATCCTCTCTTCTGGAATAGTAGGCGTCACTAGACAGCTAAAAGAGAGACGAAAATCCCAATAATCCCAAAACCTATAAACATCAGCCAACCCTGGTCAAGCGTTCGGTCCACACCTGGATATGCTTGAATCATTTTGAAACATTCGGCAGCTGGCTTCATTACACCGAACGACTTGTTACACTTAACCCTTGAACATCTAACTCTAAACATTTTTAAAGCTATCTAATGATATTGCCTCAATTGCACTTGGTGACAGTGAGTTCCAATCTGCAATAGTTCTAGGAAAGAATGAATTTTGAACACCTCAATCCTTGGTTGATAATTCTGGTACTTGAAGGCATGGCTATATCTTGTTCTCTTCTGGGCTGGTATTAGATACTTAGTAGTTGGTACATCCACCAGTTTGTTAGTCATTTTGTACATCATGCATAGTCTGGAATATTTTTGTCTTCCAATGTCTTTAATCCTGCACTCCGGATAAACGGATGCTTCAAAATCGTTCTAAATCCTCCGGACTAGGATAATCACAATGGAGCGGATATTAACAACACGGCATCCCTTCTCAACACTGAAGACATTATAATAGGGTTATTGACCCCGCGAAAAAACTGTGACAAAGGTTATGCTTTGTTACCATGGCAACGGTACAACAAGACGTAAACACACCTGTCTAATCAAAAAGGTGCCATTATGTATCAATAAGGAGAACAAGAGAGGCCATGATCTTAATACAGGGACAAGAGGGAGAGACGCTTATATAAGTGACCTTCTTTCAATATTAATAGTTGTCGCCATAAATTGTGCTCTGTACTATTGTCGAGCAATAAATTCATCCATTAATTTCTGATACATTTTGATTTAAGACGATTTACCACATTTGTGGAATGATTGACATAACAGGTTACTATCACCTTTTTAAGATGTCAATCCTGAGACCAGACTGTAAAATTTGAACCACTCACACCGGGGAGGACCTCTACTATCTTCGATACGTGTAGTGTGTCTCTCTCTAAACACAGGACCTCTGGCTTTACGTCCTATCCGAGAGGACGTCCCTAACCGAAGCTAGGTACTCATTTACACCTGAGTGAAGTGAGGAAAGCAGGTAAAGTGCCTTTTGCAAGGACACAACAATGGCGCTTGCCAAGGATTCGAACCCAGAACCTTCAGATTATAAGTCAAGAACCCTATATATAAAACCACAAGACCACCTTGCCATATTTTCTAATGATGGGCAAAGCAACGACCATAGTAGGACGCTGTGTGGTTAAAGGCATCCAATGAGATTTCAGGGCAGCAAAACTGGAAATATTCTGAACAAGGCTTTGTAGTATTGACACATACTGCTTAACATTAGCACATTTCAATCAGCATTTCATGAGTTGGGTATTTAAAACTACAGAAAGAAGCCCCAAGATGAGTCCCTTATTTTCTGGGTTGTACCCTAACAATCAGCCCAGGGCCCTTCCAGTAACCATTTTCCGTCAGAATGTTGGGAATTTCTGCTCCATGAGGGTCAATATACACTGGGATAGTGAGGTTTTCAACTCAATATGTAGATAAATGACTAGAATGTTGGCTTTGAAAAATTTGGGTTTCCAAGCCCTAAAAGCTGCACCGGATGCCTTTAAAATGTCGAATTTTGAACACAAAAACCTCCTCTGTAATCGGATAATCTAAAGCCTCACAGCTTTATCTTGTCAAGTAGATGATTTAGTCCGATTAGTCTGTCTCTGTTATCAAACAGCTTTGTCTCCATGGCTCTGTTTCTTTCCAAATGATTAAATTCTAACTAGCCGATTTTCTACTTAGGCCAATGTTGATTTGATTATATGGATGACTCCCACGCGCGCATGAATGTTTGTCCTTAAAAAGGGTTTCGATTATACTGTAAATCGTACAAAGCAACTGCAAAAAATTAGCAAATACATGCCAAAGATTGCAAAAAAAAAATTGGAGAACGTTACTAATGTCTTAGAATGACAAAGTCAATTCCAAAGAAAAAGAAGAAGAAAATGTGAAGAAATGAAATAAAGATTCTATTATTCGCCATACCATACTCCGTGTGCTTAGTAATTTGTTCAACCTTTATGACTACATAGATTTCATATTGAAGGCAACTTTTTTTTTGCCAAACTCTTTTTTTATTTGCACGCTCGCATCAGTTCTCGGGTTCCCAGATGATGTCATCCATATAATCAAATCAACATGGCCTAAAGAGTTCAAGAGTCCTCTAGTAGCATAGGAACAACAGAGAAACTCGGGGTAAATTCCACGTAATGAAGTACTTGTTTTGTTTGTGTCTTCATTTTTTTGTTTGACGTATTATCTAGTACATCTTCAGGAAGAATGTTTGGACTGCACGGAATTCTATCCGTAAGCCCACTTTAAAGCATACGTAAAGGTCAATCTTTTAACTCTAGTGGGATATTTACGCATTCTTTAATCTGTGCTCTAAGATTGAAAGTCTTGTAGTGTCAAATCGTGCGGTGAAGAAACGTTTCTGAAGACAATATTGGCATTGTCCCCGAATGAAGCAGGGAAAGTTGTTTTGGCACCTGCAATGCTGTGTACACTATAACGTCTGTAAACAACTACTTCTAGTCCATTAGGCCCTTTTAATCTTAAAGGCGGTCCGCCTATTTACCGGAATACACAGGAATACACCAGAACACATGCCAAAATACAACAACTTGGGGTGTTAGCTATAGCTCATCAAAGGAGGGTGTATTCCGGTAGATTTCAGCCTCCTATATTTGTATTCTAGAGTATCCCGGTGTATTTTGATGTATTCCTGTAAATAGGTGGACCCGGCGATAACTGAATGACCGTTGTTCGACTAAAATTGTATTGGTTTGACAAATTTTTATGTTACAGTAGTAAGTTGCATATTGCCTATCCCATAGCATATTGATATCTTTGAGGCAAAAATATGATATGTCGCTGACGGAAAACGGTTGCTTGTTTCGCGAATTCGTATCGTAGGCTGGTTCTAGCTATTTATGGGTGGTACCCAAAAATGAAGACATGTTCCTGGTCTATGAAATGATGACGAAAATGTACCCAAAATGGCAGCAAATGTCAATATCAGACAGATTTCTTCATACAGAATATTTTTGTTTTGTTTTGTCGCCCTAGAACTGCATTGAGTGTTTTTTAACAATAGAAATTAACTAAATTAGGAGGAACAGTGTATTTAAACGGAAGAAATTAACTAAAATTAGGAGGAACAGTGTATTTAAACGGAAGAAATTAACTAAAATTAGGAGGAACAGTGTATTTAAACGGAAGAAATTAACTAAATTAGGAGGAACAGTGTATTTAAATGGAAGGAATTAACTAAATTAGGAGGAACAGTGTATTTAAACGGAAGAAATTAACTAAAATTAGGAGGAACGGTGTATTTAAACGGAAGAAATTAACTAAATTAGGAGGAACAGTGTATTTAAACGGAACAATTTAAATTAGGAGGAACAGTGAATACAGTTTTGTAAAAAGAAAGAAACTAAAACGAGTATTGAAAACGCACTAAAAATACAGCCAAACCTGTCTATATTCATCACTCAAAAGAAAATTGTCACAGTACGTTTTGACCTGGATTTTTTATGTTTGGGTCAATGGGGAAAATAGTCTATACATTATATTCACCACCAAAAAAATAGTCTATATAATATATGTAAGTTACCACCAGAAAGTGACCAAAATGGCCAGATGGTCCATATGCAGAGGTGGTCACTAATACAGGTTTGAATATATATATATATATATTTATATATATATATCATTAGCCAGGTGGTCCTTACGTTTAGAGGTGGTAGCAATAACAGGTTTGACTGTATTTATGGCTTGGTGGTACTTATCATTATCATCTATATATCATTTGTAAATTACGAATAGTAGCACAGGTGTGATCATCAGTTTCATTGCAGTGCAACGTAGGCTTGACTATAGATTCGATTCTCTAAATCTGCTTTGGACTCGACAGTATCTGACTGAAGCCGAGGCCACATTTCCGAGCCGGGGCCCGGCCGGGCTGTTTCTAATACCTGAACGAAAAAAAAATCCATAACATGCTCAGATAGAGCTCATGATCAGTTGTTGCAAATCATTTGTGTTTTTCTGTCTTTTTTTATCATAGTTTTCGTTCACATAAACAGCCCGACAAGTTGGTAATGCGACCTCAGTATAATCTCGGGTCTTTAAGGAGATTTTGATGGAAGATCGTTACCTTTTTCTGTATAGCCCTTTTTTGTCGCTATCCCCACCTTGGGTGGCGAATTGCACAGACCCTCTCCGGCCAGTGGATACTGCCTGGCCAATTTGATACTGTCTTTTTGCCACCCTAGGATCTGCTTGGAGATTAGTGGAAGGCTGAACAGAATGAATTCACGCTTGAAATCAGGGTATATACAACACAAGATTCATATCGACTCACCTGCAGACAATTCTCTAATGACAGGAAGGCCTCATGCTGTGAGAAAGCTGCCGGTTGTGTAGCTCCATCCAGCCGGTAGAATCGCCGCCCTTCCCCGGCATGTCGATTCCGTAGTCAGGTAGACGCCGTGTGTATCCAGGTGTGACCGGTGTCAGGGTGACCTAGTTCCGTACAAACTACACATGTAGCCTGGTAACCATCCCTCGGGATCGGTGTGGGGATGTCTTGTGGCCGGTCACATAAATCGTACGAATGTCGTACAATGGAAAACCGACGACATTCTTGGGACAGTCCTATTTTGTTACGGAAAATTCCGTCTTAGGTCCTTGTCGGCGGTTGTTGTTAGATCTGTCGCAACCTGCTTGAAAATTCGTCGGGCAGGTTGTAGGGATGTCTTATAGCTGGTTACATATGTCACACGATTGTCATACGATTAAAAACCGACAACATTCTTGGGACAGTCCTGAGAAATCCCGCTGTCTTGTTACGGAAAATTCCGTCCTTGTCGGCGGTTGGTGTTAGATCTGTGACAACCTGCTTAAAAGTCTTACAATTGTCGTGCGATAGAAAACCGACAACATTCTTGGGACAGTCCTGATAAATCCAGCTGTCTTGTTACGGAAAATTCCGTCTTGGGTACTTGTCGGCGGTTGGTCCTAGATCTTCCTCATGAAAAATTCTATAACATCAAAATCCTAAAATGATTACATAGGCCCAGCATATAGTCACTGGTCTTTGTCCTCCCTAGTCCTGCTAGGCGTCGATTTTGTCACAGCCTAGCTACTTGAAAAACCGATAAAAATCTCAATACGAGTTTCGTGCATACAGCGAACATGACCAGACCATTGAAGAACAGAAAAGTGGTTCCTCGACGAAATATCTTGTCTCGTGACCAGAAATGGAACATAGTTGCTGTTGTATTGAGGTCACCTGAGTTAGCGCTGAATGGCGGCCGTTGCAAACCTTTATACTTCATACTCATCCATTGTAAGCTGTCAGAATATCGTCCTGAATATGATAGCGCAATAGATCTTGTACACATTTTGTGTCTTTCCATCCCAACTCACAGTACCGAAAACAAGACTATAGCTAAGCTGTCTGGTGTTTGAGGACTAATCGAGAATAATTCTCTAGGGACAAGGACAAAATTGATGTGTTTTATAAGCTTCATACAGATGTTTTTGTACGATTGTAGTATTCTTTTCCCGTGCAGTTTTTTTTTTCCTTTTTTTCTAGCTTCAGAGCCGTTGCGTGCGATTGTAAGTCTTTAGGATTACTGTAGGATGTATGGGCGGGGCGTCCCTTGTTTTAGGTCACTCACGCACACTCGAAGCTAACCTGGTATCCAGTCTACCGTGGTTGGGGCGGGTTTTCTTCGGGGCTTCTGAAGGTCTTCCCCGACCACCTGGGCTAGGTTCCCCCGGTCGGTTTTTCACGGCGGGAGTTTGATTAGGCCATTCGTGGTGGGGCAAATTAACTCACAGCGTGCCAAACTCTATAAGCGTAACACTCCTACCGGGCGGCCTGTTGTACTGGGCGGGGGAAAACTATTAGAGGCCCCGTAGACAGCCTGTCCCAACCACAATAGACTGGATACCAGGTTAACTCGAAGCCTTAACTAGGCTTTTTTTGACTCACAAATCGTGAAACATAGCGTTCTCGATCTACTAAAAATTCAGATGGTCATTTGACAACCATTTTCAACTGTTTTTAACTGTTTCGATGACATATTCCCTCTTTTGTGACAGTTTTCTTTACTGATTTTTTAAGTCGATAGACAATCCGATGGACTTAACAAACCCCCCAGTGAGTCAAAAGTGGTTCTCCGACATAGTGATGACCTCTCGGTCGTATTTAGTCTCTTTGTGACACTTGTCTGTACCTAGTAAATCTTTCTCTTTGGCAGAGACCATTTTGTAGAAAATTCAATTGAACCTTCCTTGGTGCTCAATGTTACCATACACTACTACATGTTCCTTATGTAAGTCATTTTAGGTTATAGAACTAGAATTTCCTAAATTTTGTAATGGAAACTACGCATTTTTAATGACAATGAACTTCATTGCATATTCACGCCCTACATGGCCGAATGCACTACTAGTATGTATGTTAGATAACTGAGGTACAAGGGTAGGAGGAAGAATGACAATGAAATAACACAAAAACATCATTTTACACAAAAATGTGTAGTAAGATGCCCCTCTGACATGCTGACCTACAGGTCAAATTCTAACCAGACGACCTAGAAGTCAAGTACATCTTGAGACTTAGATCTTAGTTCTCCTAAGACCTCTCTTCTCGTGCCGACTACTTAAGACATTTTTTCTATCAACATGAAAGCCTGAGAGCAAACATAGACCGCGGTATTATGACAGGTGTTCGGTGTCTGAAGGTGTTTTTGTCCGACAAGAGCGACTTTTATCCCGGTTCAAGGTCAACAAGACTAAGCTGAAGCAATAAACTGGCTGTCAAAAAAACCTATTCTTGACGGTTGCAGCAATATAATGGCGATCCCTTCGCATTTTGAATGAGTGAATGGGTGAATACGTGTCTGAATGAAATTAGTGAGTGAGTGAGTGAGTGAATGAATGAATGAATGGGTGAATTAGTGAATGGATGAGAGAATGAATGAATGAATAGGTGAGCGAGTGAGCGAGTGTGGGAATGAATGAAGCTCTTGTTTAAGATCTTACCACACTTAATATCCCTATCCGTGATGCTCTCCTAGATGGAGCAAAAAAGGATGAATGAATGAATGAATGAATAGATAAATGTGTGAACGAAGTCCTTGCTTGGTATTGTATCACATTTAAATTGTACACACCCTAATTTGTGATCTTCCACTAGAAAGTGGAAGAATGAATGAATGAATGAATGAATGAATGAATGAATGAATGAATGAATGAATGAATGAATGAATGAAAAATGTAGCTACTTTATCTTTTCTTTTTTTCCTTTGGCCCATCCACCCTAGCCTTCCACTTATCACCTAAGTTTTTTTCCACATGGCGTCACCCCCAGTATTGACTTGGTATGTTCCCCAGACAACCCTGAGGCTTTTATAGGGTCCGCCAGCGCACATCTCCATGTCGTGAGAGTGAACAAAGTCACACCTGATTACTGATCGATCCGCCCCTTTCATTCTTTATTCTCCCTGTCGTACTTGTAAGCGTCACAGGTTACAAAACGCTCGGGCGATTTCCCACCGATTCCCCGTACTGTGAGCTAGGGTCTGCCGTTCCCTTGTGAGATTTCACGTCTACATACTGCTGTGATATCCAGCAAACCCCGGTTAAAACGACTACTTAAATCAGCGGGACAGTAGAGTTGGGTAGGCGGCGGAGAGGGCGTGTTTTGCCGAAGAGATCGGCGTGTCGGCCCGCTGACTGGTTTACCGGGTTTTCACACCAGCATGGCGACTTTGAAACGAATTCTCGCGTCTTGGATAGTTTCTTGGATTCTTGTTGGCAACATCTCAGGGGAGGAAGGACCAAAACCTAGACAGCGGATGACTGGAGGTTGGTTTATGTTCTTTTTGTCTTGCTTGACCTGCAGCTGGTTGTCTTTTAGGAATCTTTTAATTGACGTCCCTGTTCCTGTACGCTACTTCCATCTAAACACACTTGTCTTAGAAACTTCAATGAGACATATACATGAAATGAATTAAGATATCACACTGGAAGTCAAAGGACTGATTTGTGGTGATGATACATGAGTTTTTTTTTACATTTATTCACAGTAGTAGGACAAAGGGAAAGTTACTTAGGTTTCGATGATTGCAAAAAGATTATTGAAAATTGCCCGAATGCAATTTCAGGGCAGGAAAACTGGAAATATTCTGAATAAGGCAATCTTTGTAATATTGACACATACTGCTTCACATTAGCACATTTCGATCAGAATTTCGTACATTGGGCATCGAAAACTGCAGAAACAAGCCCCAAAGTGAGTCCTTTATTTTATGGGTGGTACCCTAAAAATCATCCCAGGGCCCTCCCAGTAACCATGGATACCTGATTTTTCAAAGCCAATATTCTAGTACTATCTAGTCATTTATCTACATACTGAGTTAAAGCCACAATATCCTAATTGGTGTAGCAAAAATACCCAAAATTCTGACGGAAAATGGTTACTGGGAGAGCCCTGGGATGATTTCTAGGGTACCACCTATAAAATAAAGGACTCACTTTGGGGCTTGTTTCTGCGGTTTTAAATACCCATTGTATGAAATACTGATTGAAATGTGCTAATGTGAAGCAGTATGTGTCAATATTACAAAGATTGCCTTATTCAGAATATTTCCAGTTTTGCTGCCCTGAAATCGCACTGGATGCCACTTTCACTTAGAGACTACGAAATATTATCTTTTCTGTAATTACCCTCCATGAAAATGGGGGTACTGTTTTTACTCCGTTTCATGTTTGGTCTGATATCTGAAGATCGGTGAGAAGGAACTGTACGATATTTGGCAGATTGATGGATGGGGCCTTGGAGATTGTGTAGGTTGACTTTGAGCCCCTGGTGATTGACCTTGGTACTGCAGTTTAATTTTTTTATTCTGTTGTTTGCGCGTTATGGACTGTTTGTGCGATATTAAGGTAGCATGTAGTTGTTATTACCATGGTTTAGTGGTTTAAATTTGGGCTTCCTAGCTGTTTGCGTTTGATATTTACAATATGTTTAAAGTTGGTCTTTTTGTGTTGAATGTTTGGAAAATCTGGTGGGTGGTTTGGTATAATATTTGGTATGTGGATAGTTGTTGAGTTTCTTTGCGTTTTAGAGTGCATTAGCAGGTTGTCGTATATTTTTATTGCTTAATTTAAAAGGATTTTCATTTTTTCACCCCTACTTCATAATAGGATGGTCTGTTTGACCCCAAAGTTGGGACAGATCTAGAGTGTTTTTGTTTATATACCTCCAGCTGGCAGGTCAGGCCCAGGCATCCAATCTATTTTTACCCTAGACATACAGAGTCTGCAGAAAATATCGTCTGGTTGTGTTTGGGTCATTGAATGGGGTTTGAATTTGTTTATGTGTGCTTGAGAGGTCATTGACCTCACCTC